AAATGTGTACTACTCTTATAAACTACAGACAATCCTTAGGTTTTTTTAACTCCCTAGGGTGTATATCTAAGGATTCGGTGGAAATGGAACCCAATATTTACCCGGTAATTACAAAACATCATACCATCGTATTACAAGACCACAACAAATTTATCAATAGGTTGAAGAAATACCACGATGTCGTGTAGGACACGGTAGCTCTATTGGTTAAAGCAGCACGGACGCTGTGGGTGCCAGTTCTAGCCCATTCGTGTCATAAATATTTGTGAAATAATTTTTAATGTTCGAAATTTGTGAATGTACATAAATATTTAATTTAAATATATTGCTCTCAACTTTAAATAAAACATACAAGGATATGAAAGAAAGAAAGAAAAAAATATTTATAATACTGAATGCTGTCTCTAGTTTACGCGAGTAGTAAGTACTACTCGCGTGTGTAAGTACACATTTTAATAAAACACTAACGGTTTATAACGTATTTGAAAATTATTTTAATAAGGGCCCGACGTTTCTGATGTATACGACGGAACAGAGGGCGCTAGTGAAGCAGTTTTTACTTTGACATTAAAGACAACCTCCATCTTTGGTCTCCCCGTGACTATGGTTGCCGCGAACCATCCGAAAAGTCGGGGAGTAGTTTCAAATAAGTTTAACAAATATATCGCGTTTTAAACCGTTAAGATCTTTTATTTAAATACAAGGAAGTTTCCATCTCCGTCATTTACAGGTACCAGGCAAACATAAATAGACGGGTGTCATAAATATACCTAAGCTGTAAAGTAGACACTCAATCATAGGGGTCCGAATACTGAACGCTCCGAAGCCACGTACCTCGCACGTGTTGTTGACAAAACGCACGGATTAACTTCATAATGAACAAACATATTGGGATCTTGCGACACGTATCTGAAGGATACATATGAGCAGACTTCGACGAAATTTATTGTTTATCGTCTGCGTCAAGTTAAATCTTAACAATTGAAATGTATTGTTATTAATATGTACTCCATTTAGCTTTGACGGGATCGTTGAAAATATATTTACAGACGGGATTTGAACCGGCATCCACAGTGTTCCGTGCTTTTTTCAACCTGTTAATACATGCACCACTCGCGCTATGTAATTTCAACCTTAACAATTGTGTTTTTTTAACTAAAATTTTTAATGTATACGATTCCAACATGTGAAAAATATTAAAGATTTCCAAAATAGTTCATCCAATAAATATCACGTTTTAAACCGTTAAAGTGTTGTATTTTATCTTACACCACTAACTTGAATAATGCCTTTCCAATAAGGTCGTGTTAGACAAAATTTATAGTGGTAAGCACTTGCCCTCCCATAAAATTAACCACATGTTCAGGAAGTGACTAAAACGCGAATCACGTAAAACCCCTTAAACACGACCTAAATATGTAAATTCGCGATGACATATTAGAAAAATCGTCACGAGTCATTTTCCGCGATCCCCGGCAGCGGACTAAACCTGACATGAATAAATGCCCTAAACTTCATAATTAGGGGCGAGGTGACATAAAAACTAATGAGGCGACCTCTAGTTGCAATAAAAGACAGGCGTGCGCCGTTTCCCGGATTCGACGTTTATTTTCGCCTTTTTCTTTTGGCGAGGACGTGTTCTGCAAATGTAGGTACATGATAACCTTTATGGAGTTAATTCAGACTGACGTCTTTATATTAAATAGACATGTGCTTTATTTAGTTATACGTTGACTTGCTTTTCTGAGACTTATATAATAAATAGTAGGTATATATTATATACTTGTTTAGAAATAATTTTTTGGTGCTTTGGAAAGTAACTGTCCAACGTAAATACTATGTCTTTTCACACTAAACTAAAATATCGGTCTTTTAATGATAACAGTCGTTAAAGCCCACCATCGCTCACTGGAGAAGCGAAGTGCCTAGATCCACCTCGCTTCTCCAGTCGAAGTTTGTGACTTTAAAAATTAGTGACATTCTTAAGAGAAGTTTAGCGATTTGTAAATCAGTTAAGGTATGTAATATTAAATAGGTATAACAAAAACATTTTTAACGTTTTCAAACGGGAAATGTATCTGTTTAACTAATATACAGTCCCCCGTGGCTGCTGCAAAGCATCAGAAAATTTGGACGGCAGTTATAATAAATTGTAAATATGTTACCTTCTTAAGTGAATGTATATTCTTCGGGTAGTAATAAATTCTTTAAACCTAATTGTTAAAAAAACATTTCGCATTTTAAACTGTTAGAAGTGTCTTATTCAGATATGTAGTACTCGCGTAAACTACAGACAGTATGTAATATTTTATGTGTATTGCGATTCCGCGTTGAATTTAGGAACTTTAAAGTAAATACTAAATACGTCAATAATATTAATATATTTTTTAATGTGATAGATAAGTTCATTGCCCTTGGGCGGTTGCCCACTATGTTTCCATCATTATTAAATTATTAGTTTTTATGACTGTCATTCATAACTCTTTTGTCTTTGCATGTTAATGGCATAATTGTTATGCCTCATTTATATGAGTTATGTATACTCTATAGTCCCCCATGACCACCGAAATTGCTGTAATTAAAATGTTATTTAAATAAGATCAACTAATATATTTCGCGTTTGAAACAGTTTAAGTGATTTTATTTAAATGTGTAGTACTCGTGCGACTGCATACAAAACTTTATCTATATTAATAATATAAAACAGAAAAGTCTGTCTGTTTAAATGCACTCATCTTAGGAACTACTGGTTCGAATTAAAGAATTTTTGTGTTGGATTGATTATTTTTCAAGGAAGGCTTTATTTAAGGCTATAAAATGCTGCCACCAATTGAAGCGAAGAAACAGTGGGAAAAATGGAACATGGGGAAAAGTATTCACCTTTAAGAGCTTCCGTTGCGCGCGCTGCGAAAACGGTTCAACAAACCTAAAAAAATGTATGAATGAAAAATTCCTCTTTAAATGATAAAAAAAATACCGCGACAGTATGTGTCTACTTCGTCGTGGGTACCAGCTTTAATTTATAAAGATAAGTAGGAGGTTTGCAAAGTAAATTTTGACGCCCAAATAAGTATTCTACGCGGACGTAGTCGCTTATACAGCTAATTATATAGATATATAACAAGAAATAGTTACTTTACATAAGACCATGAAACAAAATAGCTATTGGTAAGAATCCAGACAAGCATTAGAGTAAAATGTCGTTTAAATTTCACATTTAAGAGTCCCTAATCTGTTTTTCATACGTCGTTTACGCGCTAACTTCCAGATATCGCATAATCGTTTAGGTAATGGCTCGTAAAACGCTTTTCGATATTAAATCGAATAACCGAATCGATTAAGATTTCGACGATTAATATTTACGAGAGCTTTTGAGATAGGCACGGCTGCTGAGAGTCGGATCGATTCTATATTAACTCTTGTAACAGTTGGCGTTCGCTACAAACGACAGTTTACTCGACGACGGTGAAAAAAAGAAGTGTAATGGTTTAATAACAAAAAGTAACGGTTTAAACGCTTTATTTTTTACTTGACGATGCTTAAATGATATTACTTAACATTTTTTTCAACATTCGTTCTTGAATGGGTCATCGGCAGCCAGCCCGATGCCAGTTGGTTTTGGCTAAAAATATATTTCATGTTTAGAAGTCACGTTAAAAAGTGATGTCTCTTTTTTACGAATAGTACTCACAAAAAACACTTTTAACGGTTTAAAGCGAGAAATATAAATAATAACTTATTCATTAATTAGTAAGCGTGGGGCATCACTTAAAATCGGCGTTGTACCTACTTCTAGGTAAATAAAAGCTGAGTGGTGTCCACCACATACATCTATTATTATTTTTTATGTCATTTTATTTTTGTGTGTGTGTGGATTTAATGATTTGATTTGAACTTATTTTTAATCGGATCGGATTTCGGCGTTTACGGTTTTACATTTCGTATGCTTTGCAGTAGCCGTGTTCGCGGCACTGTACGCATTTGAGCTTTTGAAAGTGTAATATCTAGTCTAGTCATTTTCTTATTACCTATTTACGTAACTGACTTTATTTTTAACATCTATTTGTCAAAGAAAATATAACGTGGAAAATAACCGTATAAAAAATATCGAAATCTCCAAAATATTGAAAGTCCGAGCGAGGAAGGTTAGGCAAAAATAGCGCTTATTACGGTCTATAAATAGCGTTTTATTTCAGCTTTAAATGGTAACCCTGAACAAAATGTTAAACAGCCAAGCCATGCGTAAGACCTAAATTGGAATTTGGGAACTGGCAACACTATTATTTTATATGGGCTTATTTAAAAAGAAATCATATTTTAATCTTAATACCATATTAACGGTTTAAATCGGGGTTCCATTAACCACGGCTGCTGAAAAGCATCCGAAAAGGTAGGCCGAAGTTAATTAAAAATAAATTAACTAAAATATTTTCCGTTTTTAACTATTATACGTGTTTTATTAAAATGTATACATATATATATAAATATATAATACGTGAAAATAATAAAGTTTTCAGAATTAACAAACAACTGAATTTTACAGCTTTCAAATGAGATGTTAAAACTATTGTTCTATACTATTGCTGGCAATACGGGAACATTCGTGGCGGACTCTTTTGTAGCGATATCAATTAACCTGACAGATGCGGGTTCCTGTCTTTGTCTTATACTTCCAGTTAAGCTGATTGCGTTAAATATATAATAAACACCCGTATTGCCCTTAATATTCAAGTCAAACTAGCAATGTATGGTAGTTAACAAGGAATAATAAGAACAAAAAATACTACATATTTATATATTTGGAAAATATTAAAATTTCAAAGACTAAATTTTAACATATAACGTTTAGTAAGCTTTTACAAGAATTACTTAAAAACGAAGTCGCTGACACAGCTAGTGTAATATAAAGATAAATAGATCTAACGCATTTTCGGATTAACTCCACCTGACGGCGACAAAAGTGCTTCGATAAACGGGGAAGTTTCAACTCAATATTAATCATGTGGGGTCCTCTCGACCCCATAGCTCTACAAATCAAAAGAAAGGGAAGTGACAAGTGGAGAGATAAGACCCGCGGAGCGGTATGGGGTATTACGTGACTATGGAATTGTGAACTCGGCGAGCAAAAGTGTTTTGAATTGCCCCAAGTTTATGAGGAATGGGATTTTCTCAATGGTAAAATATATATATCGTATATAAAAAAGAAAGGCAGAAAATTATCTACCATTAAAATAGGAGATTTTCTTGAAATAAAAGAAATAAATTATTATAATAATTGAAATGCGCATAGAGACAACCGTCAAAGAACATATTTGTAGAACTAGAGATCTCTCTGGTTACTTAACACTTCGCAAAACGAAAACCTCGCCTACACTCGATCAAATTTCCCGAAGCATTTTCCCTTAATTGAAGAAACTGTTCAGCTACAGTATTACTTCGGAGTTCAGAAATTACGTGTAGGTAAATAAAAATAATTGAATTTGTTTAGAAACTTTTGGAGCATTCCATTTACGCTTGGCTACATCGATTTTTTTGTTTAAAGGCAAAAACCTCTTGAATGTGGCTGACCCCACCAAGGTCGGTGCCATTCTGCGCGGTGCGTTGAACTTAAGTAATAATGGGATAATTAATATGGGCTGGTACACAACCGGGTCATTGACCCGCGCGACGATATTTGCGGAAAATTACGAATATTTCAATTCTATGTTCGGATTGTAGTTTTTACGGATAGATTTATTATATAGACTAGATTATTATTACATTTCAATCAAGAGTTAGAGAGCCCACACGTGCTGATGCCTTATCAATTACCTATACTAATATTATAAAGCCGTTTGTTTGTTTGAACGCGCTAATATCAAAACTGGTTCATATTGCTTTCTTTTTGTGTTGTTTGCAGGAGGAAGGTTGTTAAAGGTCTATAAAACATCAAACTGTGACCAATAGAAGCGAATAAACTGTGGGAAATGTAGTTCAAGTTAGCAAAAAATTTCTAGATAAGATCTTTTAATATTTTTCAAATGTTATTGCACATGATGGCACTATATAAATTAGAAATCGATTATAAATGGAAAAAGAAATTAATGTATAATGATGTCCTGCCCGTCGTAATTTTTTTTCCATTTATAATCGATTTTTAGATTTTAATATTTTTTTTATTAATAATTAATATAATCTAAATCCCGTTTACTTTTAGACGATATAGGTCAAACACACATTATTGGGTTCGTTAGACTGATTTACGTACCAAAAGAAGATGAAAAACTAAAATATTATTTACATGTTTTCACATTGCACATCTATGATATCTGGAACACATGATAGAATTATATATATTAAAAACCTATTTAGATTGAGAAAAATACGACACGAGCGGGGACGGGAACAAGAGCACAGAACGCTGTGCCGATTCGAGTCCCGCCCGTGTCGTTTTTCAATCTAGACTTTCAACCGAAAGATTTCGACGCCAAACCACCTTGATGTTAATGCAGGGCAGACGTTTTACTAGTGGGTCTCGAGTTGTGTAGTGATAGTGCAAATAAAAATTAAAGCAAGTTTTATTCGGAGTCGTTAAGCTAAGTAGCTGCACTGAAGATGGCGTGCTGAGGTAAGTGCACTTACCGGAGTCAGCGTGTTTTTACTTTTAAAAGATTTATTGTTATTTTATTGTTTTGTCTTTATGCTATTCTAAGTGCATAGGATTCATCTGATTTTATTGCACTAGAATGCAGAATGCAATCTCGATTATATAGCGCTACCTACGTGTATTTTTGTTTTTGACAAGACCTCTTAAGGGGTAAGTCATGACAACGCAAGCCCATGACAGGGCATGCCATGTTTTAGAATATTTTCGTTATGAAGCATGACATACCTTGTAAGTCATTTTTAAAATTATTAAAAAAAATACAATCATACATCAATTATAACTACCACAATGTATTTTTTTGTCTCTCTAGACGTAATTCAGTCAAGTAAACAGATATATTTTTTATATGATAGAGGAGGATCGACGAGCATATACAACGATAACATCTAAACGAGCTGTTGACCAATTTTATCTTTGGATATTCGGCAATCCACAGACTGATACCTGACTGATAATCGCAATTAAACTTCACGGCTTTTCTACCTGTGGACGGTGATACGTGGCTTGAAATATTGATATTTAGTATCCTGAATACCAGACGAAGTCTCACATGTTTCAGAAACCTAAATTGATTACAAATACCAAGTTTTATTACTACCACAACTAGCTATCACAATTACATATTACTTTATATAATGGAAAAGATAATCTTTCTCTAAGACCGCTTTATATTATTGTAACGGCCAATTAGACTTGTTTCTTATAAGACCCCGTGTGACCTTGAGTTTAGCCTTCTTTGTAACGATCGTGGTTTTTTATTGCGTTTTTTGTTGACGCTCGCTGATTGCTTAGATAGATGAAATTTGAAAAATATACTCTGTGTAAATATTAAGATTAGGTAGCAAAGACGTATAACTTTTTAACGAGATTTAATGACCTCACTGTCGTCTATATCATCAGCTAGCGCGTAAGATTTTCTAATAAAATTTAAATTACTAAATTAAAAATCGATTGTAGAAAAATAAAAAATAAATAAGACAGGGGCAGTACTTGAACCGGCAACCACAGTGTTCCTTGCTGTTGCTGTTAGATTACTACCACGTTTGAACGAAGCTTTTTAGCGTTAACTACGGATTCTAAAATATTTCATTGAATGTGCATCTTTTTAAAAGATAATGTATTTTAAAATATAAATCTGTTTTATTTGTGTATTGTGAAATTGACTGGGGGAACTGACCCCCCAGTGACCATGGCTGCTGCAAGCCTCCGGAACATTTCGCGTTTTACACTGTTACAATTGTTTTATTTAAATGTGTACTACTCGCGTAAACTACGGGCAGTACTTAACATAGACAATAGACACAAATATTCAAATTCCGAAGCTCATAATGTCCTGCATATCATCGAATGCATTAACTCTATAATCTATAGTTAAACAATGTTTATTAATGAATCAATATAATCATCAATAGAATCTCCCACAGATAATCTCAAATCGACATAAATCTACATTCATATCTGCGGAATCGACCAAATCAAACACCACCACAATAACAATTGGCCATTCCGTGCATAATGCATATTCCTAATAATGTATCGATTCGTCGATGCGTTTCTAATTGCAGATTAATTCGTATAATGAGCAACTACATTGCTTATATTGTAATTACCTCTTATTGGCATTTACATGTAACGATAATTTATATTTCGCTTTAGATGTATTTCAAACTGACCGCCTCTGTAGCCAATTGGTTAAACGTCTTGGGTTCGAATCGGTCGGGTTGGGCCGTAGTTACATTGTAAATAAATTAGTATTATCATTTACCTTTTATTTAAGTATTAAGTATTTATATTAATAATAAAAAAGAAAGGGTTAATTTAAAATGATTTAATTCAATAGGCTTACCAATTAGCGTACACAATTAAAACTTACAAAATGTATTTCTATTAATAATTCTTACTAATTATGTATCTAACTTACAGGTATGCACAACTTTAACTATACATTTTATGACATACAAAGACAAAGAAAAAAAAGTAAAGATTAAAACTATGGTATATGGTATAGGCAACTTACAAATTTAAAAGAAACTAATTTAAGTTTATGAATAAAATCGAAACAGTGGGAAAAGTCTTTAAATAATTTCTTTAGTTACTCTATTGTCGTTCTGTCGGTCTAAGGGTTTGTTTATTTCATGTCATATGGCAGACGCAAAGTGGGTTATAAAAGTGAAAGCGAACGCCTAGGACCGGCCTGGCCGGTTTGTGACGTAGTGGGTCTCATTTCCGCACAAGAATCGTAATTTGACACGTGGGCCATAATGAAGTTGCTTTTGTTCGCGGTTAAACGGTTTGCGCAGTTTATAGCGGTTGCACAATACGCGCTATGAATTATTAACGTTTCTACTATTTTTCTAGAGACTACTATTACCTTTTCTCGATTTAGAAGTCACTTAGTGTTTCAAGAGACCGCCTCTGTAGCGAAATCGTCAAATGTATTGCCTAGCATAGCGTTAAAACAAAAAAATAATTCGGTCGGGCAAGACACAGAAGTCTGATCAACTACTTGCCTGTTAAAGAACGGAGCAGTGAAACAAATACGGAAATGTGTTAGCCCCATGCCCCACGAGGGGGAAACAGGATTTCACTTTTTAGTGTTTCAAGAAAATATATAAAATAATTATATAGTCTTTTAAAAATAAAAATAATTTGAAAAACATTAGACTGGTGCAGGACTTGAACCGACATCGTCAGCGTTTCGTGCTGTTGCTCAACCAATTGAGCTACCGAGTCCTACACCTCATCGTCGTTTTTTTTCATCTTATCGATACGTATACACCTCTTGCGCAATCAATTTTTTTCAATTTATTTTCGATTTTAAAATTAAATAGTGCCATCATGTGCAATAACAGGTGAAAAATATTAAGGTTTCCAACGTTATACAGTCGTCCCAAATCTATTTAGGGTTTCCTTCATGGAAAGTGATTTACTCGAGCGTACAGCCTTCCTCGATAAGTGCTCTAACCAACAAAAACTATTTTTCAATTCGATCCGGTTGTTGAGATTAGCGCGTTCAAACAAACAAATTTATCAGCTTTATATATAAGTATAGATGGTTAGTAAAATCTTAATTGTTGATGAAGGAACTATGCATGGAGACACGGAGCAAAACACACTCATCTAGCACAAGTTTAGCCAACAGGAAACCTCAGCAACTTAGCTGTAAGTGAATAGTCCAATTGGAACTTCTTGGCTCTGGCCTCTAATGGAACTCCGCTCTCCTCAGGAAATTAATTCGAGCTGAGAACGTGTCAAAAGCATGTCAAGTACTTTAACGGTGTGTGAGTAATACTCGAGATTAATTAGACACGTACGGCTGCAATGCACTGGGGCTGAACGTTCATTGCGTATTGTCCGAGTCCTGCATTCGAATCTCGGAATTAAAATGACGTTGGTCTAATGGTAGCAATGTATGGCTAACAATCTACGGGTCGTCGGTTCTTTCCCCGTCGGGTCCAACATGTTCTAAATTCTTCGATTTATAATTTGTCAGAAACATGTTGGACTTCGTCTGGAAATCTGGATATTAAATGGGTGGTAGGAATATCGAAATTCCGACCGCGTCACGAACAGATGAAAACCCGTGAAGCTTAATCGCGTTGCGGTTTCAGTCTGCGGATTTCCGAATGTCCAAAGGAACTCTTACTCTTAGATGCTATAGAGGGTATATAACCTAGCATCAAGGGAAACCCTAGCTTGTCTGTTCTCCTCTATCATTAAAAACCAAATACTGTCTATAGTTTACGCGAGTAGTACACATTTAAATAAAACACTTTAACGGTTTAAAACGCGATATATTAGTTAAACTTATTGCTTTGCAGCGGCCGTCTGAGTCTCCCCGTGACCACGGCTGCTGCAAAGCATCCGAAACGTCGGGCCGAAGTTAAAAATCATTTCCAAATAAGTTTAACTAATATATCGCGTTTTAAACCGTTAAAGTGTTTTATTTAAACATTAAAAACTAGTTTTGCATTGGCCTTATACAAATTTCAGTGGGTACACACTTATGTGTTTTGCATTATAAATCGACGTGTTTCATCGGCAGAGCTTTCGATCATCATCAAAGGCGTCG